CACAGAATACTGAACACAAAACAGATGATGTGCCAACACTAAATGAACGGTGCCTTAAGGAAAGTGGAAGCTGAAATAAAACTGTAATACAAAAAAACAAGTGCAAAATCACTAACCCTTTGAGCGCATGCGCAGAAATGCGTGCATCAATAGCAATCGCCATGCGCGTGCACGGAGAACACGTGTTTTTATCAAACACGCGAGCGATCTTTGTAGCTGGGAAGTGCGTTGATTTCTACATTCTGCGAGACTATGAAAAGGTATACAGTGTCAGGAGGGGCTCAGTTATGCAAAAGCAAGTTGAACTAGCTATGTTGTCTGTCCATCCACTTCCACTTATCTTCCCCTTGTATTCTTTAACCCGGTGGCGCTACATTGTGTGGTAGTGTAATGAGGAATAAAATTAATGCTTGGAACTGCCCATGGTTGAAAATGACATTGTCATTCATGTGTGTGAGAATGTCCCTCAGAGGGCTTCATTGTCTTTTACATTAATACAAAAAAAGTCATGCTACTGAGTAACCAACACTGTTATAGAGTCCAAGTGGAATTTATTGGCAGTTTATAAGTAGAAATGTTACTATATAAAAACAACAGGACCACGGTGAAAGAATGCTTGCAACCTTTAGCCCTGTATATAATGCTACATTCCCTATAAGAGTAGCACACTAGGCAACAATATAGGGATTGTGTGATGGGGTTGGGGGTGTAAGCTTGCTCAAATCTGTTCATTAGCCATGGTTCATATATCCAATCCCTCTGTTGTTTCCATTTCTTTTTATACCATCCCAATATGCCTCTTTTAAATTACTTGTTCAGTAAGCTGTGAACAACTGAGACTGGAAATGGGGAAGGGTGCGGGTCCAACAGTTAAATTACTTCTTCATTCGTACCACGAATTCAGATGAAAACATGGTACGCATACGTATTACATCATATCCATTGCGACCACAAGTTTGTAAGCAAAAAGAGGCGTTTTTAAATAAAAAGGGGGGCTTGTCCCCCTTTCACAGAGATAATACCTAGTAGTATATAAAATTAGTGGACACAAGTAAATAAAAAATCCTGTGAATCTATATATATGGGATGGTGTGATGTGGTGGGGGGGGGGGGGGGGGGGGGGGGGGGGGGGGGGGGGGGGGGGGGGGGTGGGGGGGGGGGGGGGGGGGGGGGGGGAGTGTTTTTTTTTGTTTTGTTGTTGTTTTTCATTTTTTTTCTTTTTTTTTTTTTTTTTGTTTTCTTTATTTTCTTTTTTTGTTTTTTTTTTTTTTTTTTTTTTTTTTTCTTTATTTTGTTCTTTTTTTTGTTTTAGTTATTTTCTTTCTTTTTTTTTTTTTTTTTTTTTTTGATCTTTTGTTTCTTACTTTTTTTTTTCTTTTTTTTTTTTTTTGTATTTTTCTTATTTTTTTTTCTTTCCTTGTTTTTTATTTCTTTTTTCTTTTTGTTTTTTTCCTTTTTCTTTTTTTCTTTTTCTTTTTTGCCCCTTCTTTCTTTTTTTTTTTTTTGTTTTGCTTTTTCTTTTTTTTCATTTTCTTTTTAGCATACCTTTTTTGGGGGGGGGGTCAGTTAAGATATAGAGATGGTGTCATGTAGTGTTGTGAACCTATGCTGTATAACCACCTCATGCACAATAGGGATGGTGCAGTTTGTTCTGTGTATCGATCGAGACACTACAGCCGTAGCATCGATATCGTGACTTTGAGCACTGCACAAGGAGTCTAGGGAAGCAGCGAGGTCACCAACAAGTGGCTTGTAATGCGGAGACATAGTGGTAAGTATACGGAGAAGTAGCCGGACTTACTTGGCTCTACCACCACTGGAGTTTTTCCTGGGGAGATAATCATCTTCAAGGTGTAGTGGAAGGATAGCTCGAGTGCAGGTAAAAAACACTTGCGAGGCGTTCCATGAATGCGAGGCAGGTAAACATTGACATTTTACAGCTGCGTGACACGGACGAAGTATGTGGAAACATTGCGTGGGGGCATGTGCTCACTAAAAATTCCCGTTTCTGCAGTCTGTGTTTTGTGAATAGCCTAAAAAAACAGCCCTAGCTCGTAAACGGAACCAGGTACACACTTCAAATTTCCTACGATCGTTCAAAAGGCGTTGGTCATCCAAAATACACCGCTAACTCGAAAAACATTGTGTGGCATAAGGTTGGTTTTTGCGTGCACGGTCACATATTATAAAACACAAGCAAATCAGAAACTATGCAGTACTTGGGAGGAGACGGAAGACTTCCGGTGGAAAAATCACTATCTTCAGGACTGCTCTCGTCAGCGCCGCCACTTGAGCTTTCTTCAAGTGGTGGTAGTCTCCTTTGATACAACACACAATTGTTTGACATATAATTGAAATCAAACTCAAACTTACTTCCCAGATCGTAGTGATGCTCTAGGACTTCCCTCACTGCTATCACTTGAATCATCTTCACGTGGTCTCCTTTGATACAACACACAATTGTTTGAGATATAATTGAAATCAAACTCAAACTTACTTCCCAGATCGTAGTGATGCTCTAGGACTTCCCTCACTGCTATCACTTGCATCATCTTCACGTGGTCTCCTTTGATACAACACACAATTGTTTGAGATATAATTGAAATCAAACTCAAACTTACTTCCCAGATCGTAGTGATGATCTGATGTTCTGCAGAAAAGATTGACAAAATTCATATAAAGGCACACCAAAAGTATTCATCAATATTTTGTGGCATTTAATGGCTTAAAATTGTGTTACCGTAATTAACAGAAATTTGTGCGCAAATGTAAGTGCGAAGAGTGCGAGGTCTCGCGCAGTCGCTCAATTTTAAATGCACTCTATATACTTAGTGCATGCATTTTAAAACATGTCATCACTTTTACTAGAACAACTATGACCCTTCATCAGCACTTTCATGGAAATGTGACAATACAAAAGTGCTACTGAACGAATAAATTTGCATGAGGCTTTGTGAAACAATATTCGTTCATCATGGAAACATGTAATCGTCATGGAAATTATATAATAGGCATACTTTCATCTCTTGCGCGCTACCATTGGAAAGTTTGAGAAGTGAAGAAGTAAATTTAAAGAAAAGTGCCTGAAGCTATTTGTTGTTATTTACAAACATGTATTGTTGTGATATTGATGCTGGCTATTGAGTACATTGTGTACACAAACTTTTGTTGTGAGTTACACTGACAGATGTAGTTTGCCCACTATAATGTATTGCCTGGGGCAATTTTGTTGTTCTTTACAAACAAAAAAGTATGACGTTGCACATGTGGTTATGGATATGTACATTCCTACAAAATTTCATGGCTTTATCTCTTTCGGTGTTTGAGTTATGCTGGTTTAAGAAGAAGAAGAAGATGATGAACAAAACTCCTTATCATAGTCCCATACATCTATGATGCTAGGTACAATGCCCATTATATTAAGTACTACCGTACTTAGTGATTCCATCCATATATGCCTCTTTTTTTAATTTACTTTAGAGAGTGGTGTCACGTGTACGCAGAAATGTAGAATGCAGTCGAGATATGTGTTTACAGGTGCCTGGGTGTGGATTTGTCTTACAGGAAGCAAGAGCAATCGTTTTGGATGTGCTTCCATGACACCTAGTCAGCTAACACACGCTTCAACTGTCTTCCGCACGGCATTCGTAGGCCAACGAGGCTTTAAGAGAAGTGGAGGGAACTTACACGTTTTTGACACAGGAGACCTAGTGCAAATCGTCATAAATGTCCAAAAATTCCCGATGATGTCATTCCAACGTTATAAATAGTATGCGGAAACTTTTTGGTCACGGAATTCCGCTAGCTATAAGTACTACGTCTATATCCAGTCTCATTCCTATTCTCCCAGTCCAGCATTAGATACAGCCATTTTCATATTGACCAATCACATTTCTGCGGAACCCTTTGATGAGGCGTGGTGCTATGGAGGGAGATTAAGTTTTCACGTGGCGTGCGTGAAACTCGAGGAAGATATGCGCAGCCAGAGGCCTCACTATGCCATCCAAAATGTCCCACAAGAGGGAGCGAACGCTCGTCAGGTTGGCAGAAGAAATGAGGGAGCAAAGCTGTACACAGCCACGGCCGCTGAAAACCTCTAATTCTAATCGAGTGTGGAGTGGATGTACGAAGTATGAAAGCTGCAGATATGCGTCGTGTTTTGGGAGAGATGCCAGATTTCAAATACGAGAAGACAAAAGTGGAAAAAAAACTTTGCAGTCGAGGACACAGAGTTATTTTTTATTCCTCAATTCCACTGTGAGATTGAACGCTGCTGGGGACATGCGAAGCATTGCACCAGACAACACTGTGATTATACATTCCAAGGTTTAGAACGGACGATTGAGAGGGCACTGAACAATGTATCTGTCACCCTCATACGCAAGTACTTCAGAAAGTCAGAGAGATAATGCGAGCCTATCGAGAGGGACACACCCCAGGTCAAGAATTGGAGCTTGTACTGCAAGTCACATCAAAGAGTGTCTCTTACTGAAAGTGATTGAGATATTTCTTACATTTTTCTGGTACTTTTGTTTAGCTTAGAACCTCTCATGAATAATTCCCTTTGATGCTGAGCGTAGTAATCAAGTGTCTAAAACCCGTAGTACTGGGTTGGCCAGGTATCTAAGTACTAAGTTTCTAAGTTGCAAGTTAGATCACTGTGAAGAATTTAGATCACTGAGGTTTCACAAAGGTCAAATTCATAATAATCGCGAGGAATGGGAAGGCCCATTTGCTCCTAGCTTCGAGACTGCCGCCGAGCTCATCATACAAGCATCGCAGCGCTCAGCCCGCGTCGCTTGGACGATTCGTTGTCGGTCGCTAGTCAGACGTTTCCCGGTAGAGCGTTCCATTCCATGTAGCTGGTTTCAACGCCTGACTAGCGACAAACAACAAATCGTCCAGATCAAGCGTCTTGCTCCGGTGGGGCTTGCAGGATATATCCGTCCAGTTGCTGCGATGTTTAGATGATGAACTCGTCCTGCTCGGCGGTAGTCTCGAAGCTAGGAGCAAATGGGCCTTCTCACTCGTCGCCGATTCCCAGCCTAAATTCTGGCGGGCAGAGCCAACCTTGTAACGGGTCTAGCACACTATCGAAAAGCGAAACTGCGCTCTCCACGCTGCGATTCTAAGCCAGTTAGAACACTGAACTCGTCCCTCCTCGGTTTGAAAACCCTCGTGGGTCGGGATGAGAATGACGCAATGATCTAACCTATACTTATTATTTCATTGTACTTATCATTATGGTATGGGTGTCTCCTTTTAAAATTGTTTTACTTAAAATCTTTATCAAATGGGTATACTGGTAAAAAAAATAACTTGGTATAATAACCAAGAATTTTATTCCTAGTATATGCATAGAATTTGAGCAACATGCATAACCATGAAAAAATAGCTTTTTTTTTAAACAAAAGTTTGAGTCCATCAGTACTGAAGCCCTACAAGTAAACGTCTCTATGGCAACTGAAATATGCTTCAAGGGTATATACTTCCTAACATCTGGTGGCAATTATCAGCCCAAAAAATTTAGGTTATGTTGAATAGAGATACACATTACAACATCCAGTTACTATGATTTGCCAAAGGATTATTTCACATGATGACTTACCCTTTCTTCTTCACACATATGCGTGTTCTCAAAGGAGACTCTTTTCAATCCTAATGAAAAAAGTGCCAGGGCAGTGTGCATTTAAATGACATAATAAATAATAAAATCACCAACTATGGCAAGCATTATGCCCAAGTCCAAATTTCAGGTTTTCAATTTTGTCAGACGCGTGGCATCCCTCGGCACATTGTGATGCGCACGCGTAAGTAAACGCATGTGCCGTACCACTAATTGATGGGCTGGGTTTAGTTTTAGCTGTTACTCGTCTCTTGCCAGCTCGCGCAGAGTCTGACGCGGGCTAACTACACTACTAGAAGCATGCGAGAGGCGGTACACGCTCTGCGTTGCATCTTCTGGTGCCCCCGGGGTACACAGAGCACGCGGATCGATCAGACCATGGTAAGCCGTCCCATCCATTGTGTATTTGCATATTGGATTTTTCACGCTCTAGCTTTGCAACGGAGCAGTTCAGAGAAAATTTCTAACCTTCATTTCCCGTTAAGTACATGTGAGACGAACAAACACTCGAGAAGAGATGACGAATAACAGACAGACAGACGGACAGACCCAACTACTTTAACCCTCGCTGCACATGCGCGCCGAGGGTTAATAAGTTATGAGTCACGAAATTTGTTGTTGGTTACTCAATGCATAGTATGCCATAAGAAATACAGGTTATGAACATGGGTTACGAGCTAAGAACAATGAAAATGCTGACCAGCAGATTTCGTGACTCAAAACTTAGTCTTATATGAACCCTAAAACAGGCCTGCTGCATCTAGAGCATTTAGGGCAATGGTTGACCTTCGAGTAACTAGTTTCATAGTGTACAGAGAAATAGTGGTAGGATAAATATCTTAGGAAATTCTCTCCGCAGCAGATAGAACATTTTTGTTGGTACAATACTACAAATACATTAGCCCTAAGCATTTCAACTTTATGTATGGTGAGTGGATGCGAGCAAACCTAGTGTTCTAAACACCACGCACTTCAAAGTGTGCATGCGTTTGCATTAGCCATCTGAAAATATTGGTAATGTAGTGAGACAAGTACACTAAAAATCCTGCGAATTAAAAAAAAGCGGCATATAGGGATGGTATAAAAAAAAAAAGGGGAGGCAAGATAGGGATGGGATACATGAAGCTTGGTTAATTAACACATTTGAGCAAGCTGAGACCACCAACCCCATCACACAATCCCTATATTGTTGCCTGGTATGCTACTCTTATAGGGAATGTGGCATTATATAAGGGCTAAAGGTTACTAAAAGCAAGCATTCTTTCACCGTGGTCCTGTTGTTAGCCCTCGGCGCGCATGCGCAGCGAGGGTTACGGTAGTTGTCTGTCTGTGTGTCGATGCTTATTCTGGCACTACAGGCCACGAGGTGGCTAATGAGCGATACCAACGGCTTCATAACTACGCGAACCTGAAAAATTATTTGGCGATTCTCCTGAAACAACTGCGTTCGAGAACGACAAACTGGCACGGTCGCGGACCGAGTTCCGTGGCCCAACCCATCATTAAGCGGTGCGCATGCGTATCGACACGATCAACGTGGCTCCACCTCTACCTGATCCGCTTGCTCTGTGTATTATATCTTGGAGGACACAGCGAAGGGCGTGTATCGACTGCTGCATGCTATCTACTACCGTAGCTAGCCCGTGTCGCGAGCTACTAGCGGGAGACCGCGGGTAAACACCAATAGCCCAGCCCATCCATTAGCGATACCGCTCATGCTCAGTTCGCCGAGGGTTTGCACTTCAGTGCTTTTCATTTTTATATAGTAACATTTGTACTTATAAACTGGCACATTCAAACTCCACTTGGACTCTATAACAGTGTTGGTTACTCAGTAGCATGACTTTTTTTGTATTAATGTAAAAGATAATGAGCCCTCTGAGGGACATTCTCACACACATGAATGACAATGTCATTTTCAACCATGGGCAGTTCCAAGCATTAATTTTGTTCCTCATTACACTACCACACAATGTAGCGCCACCGGGTTAAAGAACGGAGAAAATACTAGTGGGAGATAAGTGGAAGTGGATGGACAGACAACATAGCGAAGTGCTGCTTCGCAAACTTGTTATCAGTATTGAAGGATTATTTGGAGCCTCTAGATGGGAGTTGGGGGGGGGGGATGGAAGTAGAAATTTGAATCAAGGATTAACCCCCGTGCATGTTGGCAGCAGTATCCCATTGTGTATCTGTCTGTCTTTTTATTGAACTATAGGCTACATTAAAAAGGATATATACCTGTAATTTCACTGTTGGGATAATAAGAGATTTAGGAGATATAGAGCGATATGTGGCAATACCCAGCCAATGAATTAGCGGTTCCTTTTGCGCATGAATAGTATATGTAGGGTGCAGTTTACACTGCCTCTACTCAACAGTGCTTTTAACCCTCTGGATACCATGGGATCTCCATAAATTGATGTATATCATATTAACACCTAATATTATAGCCATATGGAGGCTCTGGGCATAATTATATATATAAGATGGAAAATGTCGTCAGACAGCAAATACATGCCGGTATATACAGCCAAAAGTGCATGGATTGCAGTGGCGCTCCCACTGCCCCCGCTGTGGGCAGAGAAGCTACCACCGACCGAGGGTCCCGGGTTCTGTCCCAGACCCTCCTACCAGGGACGCCACCCCTGAGGCCGCCCATGGCAGAGTCTAGACACGGCACGAAAGGGCCAGCTCTGTGATGCCATCTTATCTCCCCCCTACCATTGCACCTTCACTCAGACAATCTATATAGTGCCCATGTCATGGCCCACTTGATCATCATTATTTCGTGTTCTCAGTGTACTCAGGGGCCCAGTGATTATTTGTGTACCAAGCGGCTATTACATTGCCCAATGATTGTCATCTACCGATACCACAGCACTGCGTAACGGGGCATGGCAAGGAGACGACACTTGAGCTGCCCTACGCATGCGCTTAGTATTATACGCACGCGGTAACGTGCACACGGCTACCAACCTGACAGACGACCAACAATTTCCGCATGACAACGATCGAATGCGGTTCTATTGCAGCACGACTGTATATACCGGTTTGAATAAACGACGTACGCTGGAGAACGGATGACGAAGGATGCACATCGACCAAAAGGTAAGGGCGGGTAATTCGGAATAGCTATTGCGGCGGCGAAATTTATGACAATATGAGAGCGCAACACAGGTATGCAGAAGCTAATATCCACATCTACTTGTAGTAATAGTGACATCCAGCTCTGAGTAAAATATTCGCCGCCGCAATAGCTATTCCGCCCTTTCATTTGGCGTTCCATACGCGCGACGACACAGGGTGCAAGGGTGCATAGAAAAATCTCCATTCAGACGATGACGCTTGCTTCGCTCGCCAAAATCTAACAAAACCAGGCAAAAAGAAAACCAACGCGAACACAAAAATGAAAACAGTCACTCCAAAGACGGTGCGAGTTTGTTCCCGGCGCCTTTGCTCGCGTCGTCGTCTCCAATTTTCCCTGACCAAGAAAGTACGACATACGGGGCACGACAAACAGTAACGGTTTCTCAACGGCACAGCCGCCAGAGACCGGGTGGTTTACCGCGCGTGGACCAGACGACCCACCCGCAGTTGAGTAGTCGTAGGCTAGTCTCGCGGGGCCAGACGTTCCCTTCCCGGATCTCCCCTCCCCGGCCCCCCGGAACGTCTATATAGCCTCCCGAGAATCTAGGCGCGGACTGAGGAGGTGTACGAGATTGCACGACGGGTGCACGCAGGCCTCTGAGGTTAGCGACTATCTTGTACTCAACTGCGGGTGGATCGTCTGGTCCACGCACAGTAAACCACCCGATCCCTATCTTGTATACCCCCCTGCTTCCCTATTCCCTGCGTTAGTAGCCTTGCGCGACCCCATTAGTGACCAGTCCCTTCTCTGTTCTCGTTCTTTAGAGAGGGCTGATTGGTCTGACCACTATGTAGGTTAGCTCCCTCCCGTTCGCTAATGGGACCTTCGAAAGAAGTAGGAGAGCAAATACAGAACGGTCCAGGCCCAAAAATTAGGTAAGTATCGTTATGTAGGCACTGGTAGTGTAGACTTACCAGGTTGACAACAGGTCTTTGTGTAGAAGGGTACCTCCTGTATCCTCTTCAGGCAACTCCGAAGGGCGTGAGACTGTTGCATACTTCCCAACTAGCTCTTATCTACTGTCTAGACTAGACACTGGGTAGCACAGGTGATGCGCAGTTCTGATTTTGTGGTTTATGGAGCCACCCATAGCCACACCTCTGTGGCTGCTTACCCTATTTATGTGGTCACTTATTGGTTTCCTACCGTACAATGCACATTGTATTTTGAGCATGTAATGAGGACCTGGCTATGTATTCTAGTAGTACTGTATATGTCCACGCAACACAAAGGCATGTACACCCAGGACAACTATTTTAGAGGTGCCCTGGTTGTGATTAAAATGGCAATATTCCTATATAAAACGACTGCGTTGATATGCCGTGAAAACAATCGCACCATCTTACCTCGACCGATCCGCTTCCTCTTTGTACCTTGCGGAGGCACAAGTACACCACGAAGGCCGTGCAGCGACTCCCGCATCGGCATGATAGCCCGTATCAGACTCTCCGCGACCAACTAGCGTGGAGACCACGATTAACCCACAGCACTCTGCAGCCTCACTCACTATCACTCCCAAAGAGACTTAGACTTTGATAGCCAGGGGCTTGTTTACCGCTGTCCCATAATGCCCAAAAGACTATATATGCACAGCAGCCAGGTACAATACTTCTGGGGAATAGTTGCTGTCTTGACTCCACTCCTTTTAGTGCCAAGGTGGTGGCTCCCAGGAGTTCAGAAGAGGGAAAGAATTATGTATTTTTGAGGTGAGTTGAGCAACGTTTTGTCTCTGACACTGAGACAAGCTTGTTTAGTGGCATGGCTAGGTTTTTGTAAGTGAATTGCAAATTTGGTGATTCCACTTCTGCGGCTCATTGTTTGTATCCACCCACTGTGGCTCATTGTTTGTATATACTCCCCATGACTTTGTGCACTCCTCCTTGTATACATGTGAAGGCAGTGTATGTACAAGTAGATACACACACTGTGAGAGTTGTTTTATGTATGACAGATTTTCTATTTTGTCTATTTTTCTACGGACTTATTATACAGAGTTTTTTTACTGCCTCTTTCTTTTTCTTTATATATTTTTTTATACACAGTTATATATATTTTTTCTACTGCCTATGTATAGTAACTGTCATTGTGATTGTTTGTCATTCGGTTTGGACACTAGGTGTGTGGGGAGAGTTGGCATGCCATAAAAGGCTCTTTAACCAACCGCCCCAGTTCTCAAGGCTGGGGCACCTGATGTCCTACCGTTGTGTGCAACTGTGTGGTTTGTGTCTGTGTATGGGTGGAAGATGGGGGGTGCAGGGTGACTTCTGGTTTTCTTTCTTTCTTTTCTATTCTCTGTGGCTAGTATGCTATAAATATACTTTTCATGCAGTTGATGTTAATGTATGTGTACTTCTGCCTTTTTTGCCAACAAGATATTCACAATAATTATGTCGCATGGCCCCGCCACACCTTCCACCCTTCTGTCTTTGCGACGCAGCAAAGCAGCAAAGGCGGACAATGTGCCCAGCTTGTTACTCCACAGAGGTGCATGCTTTAGCTTGTGTATTTCCCTTTCCAACCTTGCTAGTCTTGCTTGTAGTAACCTCAGTAGCCCTTCACCAAACCACAGCTTTTCAATTAGTACTGTCTCAGTAGGCTGTGAGTTAGGCTGGAGTTCTACTTAGGAGCAATTGTGTCATGATACCACCTGTTGGCTATCTTGGCTATTACTGGCTCTGTCTGTCTGCCATGAGGTATGGCCCAGCATAGAGCGATGCTACAACTAGCACGTTTAGCGGGGAGGGTTTGCACTTTAGTGCCTTTCATTTCCCTTGTTACTTTCTTGAGCCTTAGATAGGAGAACAAACCTTCCCTAGTGACACTGTGAAAATTTGATGGGCTGCAACATGGGACTGGTTTAGGTGGTGCTCAACTAAGGGTACATTGCTGATAGCAGATCAAAGGTAGAATAGCTGTGAGCATAATTATAGTGTGGGTGACTTTAGCATGGAATCTCACCCTTCCCTTTCTCGATCCCTAATAAGACATACACTGCACATGAAAAAAAGGAAACTGTCACTGAGTGTATGCAATGCTTTTACCATTAAAAAGTGGGGCTGACTTATGAGTCCTCCCACTATAGATATGAGGGTGAGTCCATCCTTTCCCACTGTTCTTTCTGTCGGTCCCCACATGCACGCTATAATACTACGTACATTGCAGGCAGGGTAAGCAAAGCTGTAGGCTTGGTATAAATGGTCGTGTGAGCCAATCATTTAGCACAAAGGTGCCTCCATACAATAGTTGCCAATTGCTGAGTTTGGGTTATAATATTATGAGCTTGCTCTACTCTTTTCAGTTTGCAAAGTAGCCATGTAAAAAAAAGGTTTAAAGTAGTTGGCAATGAATTTTATTGTTATGCGTAGCAGAATGAGCAACTGATGTTTTGTGTGAACAGTGAATATTAAACACAATTTTTTTCGAATTGACAACGATGGTGGAGTCTCTCTGACGTTTAAGCTGGTTATTTTCTACTGACAGTGCCACTTGTGAGCTTGAAATTGTCCTTGTCCTTGTAACTATGCACGTAAATTCATTGGGAAAATCTGCTATATTGTCGTCTGTTTTTATAGCCTCCAAGTCAGATCCATATTCTGGCAGGCTGGTTTCTTGTCCCTCTCCAAAAACCCTGTTTTGACTAAGATACATAATCAAGTAATCATCCTTTACTGCTCGGTCCGGCTTCAATGTCATTGGCGAGCAGCAAACTATATTATAATATTATTGGGTGATGGAGTGCCACAGCTGACAGGCCAGGGTAAAGTCTTCTGCAGGAGAGAATAGCGGTTGTCCGTCTGTGCAAATATTCTTAGGCGCCGAGCAAGGCATTATTGTCGAGTTTGAGATTCGAGCCCCACCTATTTCTGTAGTCCTGGGTGGGATGTCCATGCTTTGCTTCATTCATTACTCCAGCGTGCATATGCATAATACATTTACATATTAATGACAAACCAATTGCAGCGGTATAAGCTGCAACTAGAGGGTGTATTCAGAGACCAGCAGAACTGGGTGGGAAAAGCCAGGAACCATCTCTGGGGGATTACCCGAGAGATGGTTTTCGTCCATTATTTATATAGCGGGAGGACTCCTCAGCTGGCCCCGCTTCATTAGTAAAATAATTGCTGGGCATACTCAAATTCCTGAAGGTATATGTAAACACTAGGTGTAAAACAGAGAGATTAGTATGCAGTGGTCCATATGGCAGCATACACCAATGTATACCTATATGCAGAGGTGCTATGTATCACATTCCAACTATGTACAGGTGACAGCCTGCTGAGAAGTCATTCTATGTTTTTTTAGAGATGTAATAGGAGGAGAGCGTGATGTGTCAAGCACACAAAGACAATACTACCCTGGAGCAGTGGCAGATGAATGCCCGCTCTCCCGTGTGACAGCAGAAGGTGGGATGTCTTTCCGTACACCTTGGAGCAGTTGGGATAGTGGCACCCGTGCTGTTTCTTTTCTCGGAGAGCTGTCACTGCTCCCTCGTCGCCCAGTGATGGTGGTGGTGGTGGTGGGAATACAGACAATACAGCATGTGTGTACTAATACTTCCATATCTTCAGTGTGCCCGTGTCCTAAGTGGTAAAGAGAAAAGAGAGTTTGTGCATGACGTGTGTGTTTCCTCGAGAGCTATGGTGTCTACTTGTGCATAGTAGGACGAGGTAGAGTAGGACAATGCAAAAACACCTGAAATTAGTTACGATTAGAGGGTCACCTTGTCTGTCAGCAAAAGGGTGTAGTTATACCACCTGAGATTATTTGGGCCAGAGAGTGAGTCATTGTGTGAGAGTTAGGGTGTCAACGTGTGTGTACTGGCTGTTACAGTTAGTGTAGTGTGGGTCACAAATGTATATACACATCCAGACAAAGTGGCTCACCAAAAAAGGATTTACTTTTGGCCTAATCCCATCCTGTCAAAACCAAAAGAATCAACTTGACATGAAGTCCAGTGCACTATACACTGAGCCAGAACTCAGAGAGAGGAAAGACCAGTTCCCGTCTTGAGTTTTGGACTTTGACCTTTCTTGTAGCAATCATCTACCAGTCACATGCTATGGACAATGGTGTAATTCTCCACTCAAATTACACACCAGCACAACAATGCATGAGTGCCACAGCACTACCAGGCCAAGTGTATATATCCTCCGAACAACGGACACTTTAAGGGAACAGGTTCTTTGTCCTTTCTTTGGAGGTTGTCCCTTGACATTATTTTCATCTCTACAATGTTCAAAATACTGTGGATAAATGTCTGCATGTGGTGATCATTGTTAGTGAGTAAAATAGTCCTATAGAGAGTGTCATTTTCTTGCTGATGGATACTCTACATTGACTATCTTGTCCATTGTGCAACCAATATTACCGTGCCATTTACTTCATCACTCTGATCCGTAACACGGGTAGTATCTGCTGTAGGGAGGTTGTCCGCTTCTCGGAGGGTCCGTTATGAGAGGGCACCTCACTAATCAGGGCACCTTCTTCTGAGGAAAAGACACTTCTCTAAAAGTGTCTTGATATCAGAAGAATATGCAATGATTAGTGAGACCTTCTCATTTCAGAAGACACTCATTACCCTCGGCGCGCATGCGCAGCGAGGGTACTGTAGTTGAGTTTGTCTGTGTGTGTGTGTGTCTGTTACTCTACATCTCACCTCTCGAATGTCTGTTCGTCCCAAAAACGATACCATCTACCCAACGGGCGACGAAGGTCAGAAAATTTGTGGGGTTTTCTCTGAAAATGCTCCGTTGCAGAGCTAGAGCGCTTCCAGCATTGTATGGCTAATGCCGGTAGTCGCCATTTTATTGCTGGCGGATAATACGCATGCGCTTATATTTAGCACAGGCTTACCTCGACCGGGTCTGCTTGCTCTGTCTATCTTGATGGCACAAGAAGTAACACAACGAAGGGCGTGTATCGACTCCCACATGCTATCTACTACTGTAGCTAGCCCGTGTCAGACTCTCTGCGAGCTACTTCGCCGAGGGTTTGCACTTTAGTGCTTTTCATTGGAATTGTTTTTGCCCACCCTTGTTACTTACATAACACGAGGTGGCAGAAAACATGGTAACAGCCGGACAGCCGGAAGGACAAACCAAGTAAACCATTACTGCGCTCACCAATAAGGACACTTTCTTCTGAGAACAACACTAAGTGTCCTAACGAGTGAGTTGTCCTGAGTGTCCTAATTCTTGTGACAACTGGTTACATAGAAATAAGGAGTTCTACATTTTAGCAAGAACTTTGGCGGAAGGACAAGTGCTTTGAGATTGCACTGAAAAAAAAGTTGTATAAAGTGTTTGTACTTTTTGGACAGAGGCACCGGTCAAGGGAAATGTGTTAGAATGTACGCACACTCAAACATAGATACTCTACTGTGCATAAATGTTTCAGGTATATACCTGTAACAAGGTTCTTGACAGTAGCCCGATCAGGACAAGTACATACCTAGGTAAGGCTTACCCAGCTACGTAACATACAGGTATATACCAGCTGTGCGCATACTTACATAGAGAAAGAATGGCATTAGTCAGTCCTGCCACATCATCTGTTGTGTTTGTAAGCCATGAATGACAAGTACTTGTTGGCGTTGAACACGATGCTTGCGTAGTGTGCACAATAATTTGCGTGCCAGTTACATTAGAGGCAAATTGCACATGTGCAGAACAGAGATGCAAGTAGTCAGATATGCGAAGGGCCGGAAAAGCAAGGGGTTACTGTACATACCACCACAATCATCTCCATTTGCGCATGTGCATTTCCCTCCAATGTAACAGACACACAAATTAGCGTGCACACTACGCAAGCATCGTGCTTAACACCCACAAGCACTTGACTAGTGCCGTTCTTTCTCTATGTCATCATTGTTTGTACTGATGCATACATACCCCATACAAAAGACTTGTATATACTTCAGATGAGTAGTTTGCTCAGACAGAAGTTTTGCGGGTAGCTCTTCCTTCCTGGTAAGCGTAGTAAAAAGAGAGAAGAGAGGGGAGAGGGACAGAGAAGAGAGAGTGTGAACACAGAAACATATGCAAGTTTTACTATCAGTAAGCTGTGTTCAAAACAGAGGAATATGAGTGCGTGAGTGCTGGCACAGATAGCATTCTTCACCGGGTTACCTCAGATTCATTAATCTGCACATCTCGCTCCCGATCTCACGCCTGGTAGAGTGAAAGAATGGTGATGAGTGCGTAAGTCAGAAGGAGAGGAAGAAAGGTAGAAAGGAAAGAAGATTTCAGCTCTACCAGTGGGATTCCACCACCTCAGTAAGCCTTTTGTTCAGAGGAGTAATGCATACCAACACATGCATGCGTAGGGTCTTACTGAAAGGCGACTCCACTGAACTTGCTTGGGCCGGTTTCTCAATTCAAACTGATTAACGTATACACGTCATTAGACCTATATATTCAGACTAGACTTGTGTGGAATGTGTAAACTGATACCAAACTGGAGTGAAAGATTATCAGAGTGTGAAGGGAGAGTGGTGAAACAAAATGGGAAGGAGATGAAAGAGGATCTCACCATTTTAGTTTCAATCTGCTCTCAGTTTGGAAGGGCACTATTCTGACTGTGGTTCTACTGTGGAAAAGGAGAGGGAAAGGGAGGAGAGGTTGATGCATGCCATTCGTTGTGACTTCCTGAGCCCCCAAGGTACACAGAGCGAGCGGATCAGGTCGCGGTAAGCCTGGTACGATTATGCATATTGGCTTTATTTTCACGGCATATCTCTCAAACGCAGTCGTTTCAGGAAAATTGCCCTTTTTTTCAGGCTCGCGTAGTTCGGAAGCCGTTGGTATCGCCAATAGGCCGCCTCGTAGCCTGTAGTGCCAGAATAAGCGTCGACACACACAGACAGACAGACAGACAGAACAACTACTGTAACCCTCGCTGCGCATGCACGCCGAGGGTTAATAAAGACCCACATATAAGGCTCTCCATAGTGTCTGCAGGAGTTATTGGCCAGCGACAGGACAGTAGTAGAGCTGTTGGTTGAACCAGGAACCTTCTCCTGCTGAATGGAACCAGAGAGACGGACAGACAGAGATAGAGGTAATTGATTTTCTTAAAATGCACTGGCCATTAACCCTAGGCCTTGCACACACACAGCTGGAGCACACCAAAGGGAGGGGTGTGTGCCCACTGGGTGGTGATACAGGGTCATCGTAGGGTAATGGCCTCCAAAAATTGGGTTTGTAGGTTCCCCTCCCAAACCCATTGAATGGGCCAGCTCTAGAGAGCCAGCCAGCTTAGCCCAGGGATGCTAGCCCTCACCTTATATACCAGAAAAGAGCAGGAACAGTTGTGGTTTTTGTTAAAAATTCATTGCTATATGGGAGTGGCCTACTCACAACTAACAGGTTTTAACATGCAGTTGACCATAGACCAAAGAGCCACACAACTACTGAATATGCCATACTTTAGTAGTAAGGATAAGGGCAAGAATATGAGACAAGGTATATACTAGGGAAACACGAAGTTCGTGTCAATGAGTTCCAGAGTGTCTTCGGTGGTGCCCCCGCGGCAAGCGAAAAGGGCGCGGCCAGCGGCCGCGCCCTTTGAAGCTTGGTAGCGGGGGCAGGATTAGGATACATTGCGCACGTGAAACCGTCACCCACACCAACGCAGAAAGTATGTGCCCACTGCTGTGACAGTCACAAGCTGTCTTACACAGGCATTACTGGACAGTCCTTTTAGGCTCAGTTCTACATACCTACAACCAGCAGTACGTGTAGTGTTTCTCTGATCTCTGTGCCACTCAGCAATTACAGTAGAAAGTCATACCCACATTCTTGTCCTAATGTCTGCCATGTGTGTACGTACAATCTACGTACGCACATGTACACCCAGTTCCCAATCACCTACTGTTTCACTGGCACAGACAGTCCATTTACTATTGCGTTGTTTGTTGTTCATACATTGTGCCATGATCATTCATTTCCAGTTGCTGAATGCATGTTTTTTTACTCTTATACATATTATATATCATTAAACCAGAATACATACAAAGTTACTAAGTGATTTTATACTAATGGCCTCCCTCTCTCCCTCTCTCTCCCTCTCTCTCCCTCCCTCTCTCTCCAGGAATTTGTAAAAGATGAATTGGAAAAAAATCTGGATCTGAGTGGTTGCACATTTCCCCCTCCCTCCCCCTCCCCCCGCAGACCTGCTGCCAAGGGAGCAGTTTAGTCCCATGCTGTGTCCCATGCTGTCCTCTCAGGTACGCAAACTGCTCCCTTGGCAGCAGGTCTGCGGGGGGGGGGAGGGCGAGGGAGGGGGAAATGTGTATCAGTGCAACCACTCAGATCCAGACACTGATGGACAAAAGAAAGTGCTCATATTATTGAGGTGTCCTATTTGGGTGGTTAAATGGCACATAGGCAACTGTTCTTGGGGAAAGAAAGTGTGTCTTATTAGAAAGTGGTCCTCATTTCAGGAGCGTCAGTATAGAAGGGGGTGTGGTGTGTGTGTGTGATGGATAATTGAGAGCCACCTTGCAGTGTGTCTAAACATAATGTAGTAACCCAGACATTTCACAAACTCCACCTCCTTCCTGACACACAGAGGTTCACACAGACTACCTCCCACAACTCCGTTCAGGTAGTCCCTACACTGTACGAGAGGGGACAATGTGTTGCTGCTTTGCATGCCTGGTGTGTCAATCTGTAGCTAGCTCACCAGACGTTTCAACCTAACTGTAAACCAAACGTTCTGCAGTGAAGACTTTGTAATAGGTATAGTATATGCCTATTATGCCAATGTGAATTTCATTTCCGGTGCATATGATTAGCGTTTCGGCGAGTGAAGTACATACAACGTACCTAAGATAATGCCGGGGAAAGTGTGTGAATGCATACAGTATGGTGATTGTGCCAGTAATACCAGAATGGACCCAGCCCTTGTCCACTACCATAATATGCATACTCATGTTATGATAAAACTTGGAATCACGGGACCTGAGGGTCACGAGATGTGTCGACCTGAGGAAGTTGAGGGAGAGGCGACTGCCAGAGCCATCACTATTGCCAGCCAGGTCAGTGTTTCTCTGTCTGGCCTTCAGCATGTCTCCCTCCTCGTACATCTAGTTAAACAACACCAGATCCCAATAATTATGATACACAAATGAGTACATGTGTATGTCCCTTCTCACACTTTGTTCTGTAGGTACTTTGTAGGTACGGTACCTTCAAAGGTACTTTGTAGGTACTTCTGCAGTACTTGTAAGGTAAACACTGAAGGGTACGTGAAGGGTACGTCAAGGGTACGTAGCGGTAATGCATAGGTAGTACCGTTACCGTATAGCGGTACTTTGTTTACTGTTTTTGACCTGTACTGTATCTGAGAGTATGTGCTATATAGCACAAAGCCGTTATACATGCAATATTATGGATCCAGACAATGAGTCTGGTGATGCTGTATGTGTGGGCCGGAGCTGCGACAAACAAACTCTAGTAGAAACCTGATTTTGTACATGTGCAGGACAGATAGAGCCACTTAGAACTTCTGGAGCAAGATTCTAAGTGGTTTGAAAGACTTACAGCTCTACAATATATAAAACCCCACCAATAGAGTCGCAGGAGTTGTGGGCCAGTGACAGGACAGTAGTAGAGCTGTTGGTTGACCCAGGAACCTTCTCCTGCTCAATGGAACCAGAGAGGGGGGAGGGGAGGATAAGAGGACGAGAAGGGAAAGGGAGAGACGAGCAGGTCAGTCAGGTCACCATGGTACAAATGGCAACGGCAATTAAAATTTCAGTTTGGTTGATAAAGAAGGTTGTTACTTTTGCTTTTCATTTGGTTAGCAAGAGATGCCAGCTTGGCTAGGGATGCTAGCCCTCCATTATATAAACTAAAAGTGAGCAGGAACATTGCTGCCATCTACATGGGAGTGGCCTAGCAGCAGGTTCTAACCTACTGAATAATGTTGCCATACTCTAGCAGTAAGGATAAGGGGAAAGAATATGAGACACGAGGCATGGAGCTATGGTTACAGGATACATTGTGCACGTGAAAGTGTGACCCACACTTACGCAGAATGTGCCCACTGCTGTGACAGTCACAAGCTGTCTTACACAGGCATTACTGGACAGTCCTTTTAGGCTCAGTTCTACATACCTACAACCAGCAGTACGTGTAGTGTTTCTCTGATCTCCAATTACAGTGGAAAGTAATGTCATTCAATGTCTGCCATGTACACATCCACACCACTGACTCTGATGGTGACCTGCAAAGAGTGTGTAGAAAGACATGTGCATACGATAGCCTCGTCCGCAGGCTCTTTGTGGGAGGGGAAAAGAGCCTGGTAATCTTACAGCCAAGAAGAGTACAGCAATACAACAATATGCATGGCTATCCTGAGGGAAAAGAAAGCACAGCTACTCATTCGGAACACCTCGATTACACCTGGTGATTGCTTTTGTACTTTTATACAGCATGGGAGGGAAAATAAAGGACAGCTACTCATTCGGAACACCTTGATTACACCTGGTGATTGCTTTTGTACTTTTATATGGCATGTGAGGAAAAAATGACATACTCATCGAACACCTTGATACACCTGGTGACTTTTGCTTTTAACAGGTGAGGATAAATGACAGCTACTCTTCGGAACACCTGATTACCCCTGGTGATTGCTTTCGTACTTTTATATGGCATGTGAGGGAAAATAAAGGACAGCTACTTATTCGGAATACCGATTACCACCAGGTGATTGCTTTCGTTCTTTTATACGGCATGTGAGGGAAAATAAAGGACAGCTACTCATTCGGAATACCGATTACACCTAGTGATTGCTTTTGTACTTTTATACGGCATGTGAGGGAAAATAAAGGACAGCTACTCACTCGGAACACCCTGATTACACCTAGTGATTGCTTTTGTACTTCTATACGGCATGTGAGGGAAAATAAAGGACAGCTACTCATTCGGAACACCCTGATTACACCTAGTGATTGCTTTCGTACTTTTATATGGCATGTGAGGGAAAATAAAGGACAGCTACTTATTCGGAATACCGATTACACCAGGTGATTGCTTTCGTTCTTTTATACGGCATGTGAGGGAAAATAAAGGACAGCTACTCATTCGGAATACTGATTACACCTAGTGATTGCTTTTGTACTTTTATACGGCATGTGAGGGAAAATAAAGGACAGCTACTCACTCGGAACACCCTGGTTACACCTAGTGATTGCTTTCGTACTTTTATACGGCATGTGAGGGAAAATAAAGGACAGCTACTCACTCGGAACACCCTGATTACACCTAGTGATTGCTTTTGTACATTTATACGGCATGTGAGGGAAAATAAAGGACAGCTACTCACTCGGAACACCCTGATTACACCTAGTGATTGCTTTTGTACTTTTATATGGCATGTGAGGGAAAATAAATGACAGCTACTCATTCGGAACACCTTGATTACACCTGGTGATTGCTTTTGTACTTTTATACAGCATGTGAGGGAAAATAAATGACAGCTACTCATTCGGAACACCTTGATTACACCTGGTGATTGCTTTCGTACTTTTATATGGCATGTGAGGGAAAAATAAAGGACATCTACCCATTTGGAATACTCTGATTACACCTAGTGATTGCTTTCGTACTTTTATATGGCATGTGAGGGAAAATAAAGGACAGCTACTTATTCGGAATACCGATTACACCAGGTGATTGCTTTCGTTCTTTTATACGGCATGTGAGGGAAAATAAAGGACAGCTACTCATTCGGAATACCGATTACACCTAGTGATTGCTTTTGTACTTTTATACGGCATGTGAGGGAAAATAAAGGACAGCTACTCACTCGGAACACCCTGATTACACCTAGTGATTGCTTTTGTACTTCTATACGGCATGTGAGGGAAAATAAAGGACAGCTACTCATTCGGAACACCCTGATTACACCTAGTGATTGCTTTCGTACTTTTATATGCATGTGAGGGGAAAATAAAGGACAGCTACTTATTCGGAATACCGATTACACCAGGTGATTGCTTTCGTTCTTTTATACGGCATGTGAGGGAAAATAAAGGACAGCTACTCATTCGGAATACTGATTACACCTAGTGATTGCTTTTGTACTTTTATACGGCATGTGAGGGAAAATAAAGGACAGCTACTCACTCTGGACACCCTGTTTAACACCTAGTGATTGCTTTCGTACTTTTATACGCATGTGAGGGAAAATAAAGGACAGCTACTCACATCGGAACAACCCTGATACTACCCTAGTGATTGCTTTTGTTACTTTTATACGGCATGTGAGGGAAAAATAGGACAGCTACTCTTCGTGAATACTGATTACACCTAGTGATTGCTTTTGTACTTCTATACGGCATGTGAGGGAAATAAAGGACAGCTACTCATTCGGAATACCGATTACACCAGTGATTGCTTTTAGTAGACCTTTTATATGGCATGAATGAAGGGAAAATAAGGACAGCTACTCATTCTGAACACCTTGATATACTCCACCTAGTGCTTGCTCCTCTCGTACTTTTATACGGCATGTGAGGGAAATATAAAGGACAGCTACTCACTCGGAACACCCTGATTCGCACCTAGTGATTGCTTTTGTACTTTTATATGGCATGTGAGAGTGAACATAAAGCTCAGCTACTCATTCGCAGCACTTGGGTACACCTAGTGATTCTTTCGACTTTCGTACTTTATACGGCTATGAGGGAAATAATGCTCAGCTACTCATTCGGAGGCACCTTGGTTACACCTCGTGATTGCTTTTTGTACTTTCATACGGCATGTGAGGAAAAGAAAGGACGGCGTACTCATTCGTAACAACCTGATTACACACTGGTGATTGCTTTCGTTCTTTATATATGGCACGTGAGGGAAATAAGGACAGCTTTAACTCATTCGAAGACCGATTACACCAGGTGATTGTCTTTGTACTTTTTATATGGCATGTTGAGGGAAAATAAAGACAGCTCCCCATCATGACGGAACACCTTGATTACACCTAGTGATTGCTTTTGTACTTCTATATGGCCTGGGAGGGAACATACAGGACAGCTACTCTTCGGAACACCTGATTACACCTAGTGATTGCTTTTGTACTTTTATATACGCATGTGAGAGGAAATAAAGGACAGCTACTCATATCGGATAACACCTTGATTACACCTGTGATTGCTTTTGGTACCTTTATATGGCATGTGAGAGAAAATAAGGACAGCTACTCGCATTCGGAACAACTGATTACATTACCTGTGATTGCTTTCGTTCTTGTAGTATATATGGCACGAGGGAAAATAGGACAGCTACTCATCATGTAATACCGATTACACCAGTGATTGCGTATTTGCTTTTATATGGGATTGATGTGACAATAAAAAAAAGGACAAAAAAAACCTACTCATTCGGACACCTTGATTACACATAGTTATTGCCTTTTGTACTTTTATAATGGTCATGTGAGGGAAAATAAGGACAGCTGACTCATTCGGAACAACCCTGATTACACCATTGCTGGCTTTTGGTACTTTTATACGGCAGGTGAGGGAAAATAAAGGACCTGCTACTATATCGGAACAACCTTGATTACCTAGTTAGTGCATTTTGTACATTTATACGACGGCATGGGAGGGAAAATAAAGGACAAGGCGTACTCAAGCACATCTATATACTCATTGGATATACAACAACACTTGATTGCTTTCGATGCTTTCGTACTTAATCGTACTTTATAAGGTCCATTTTAGTAACTTTATTAACGGAACATGTGAGGGGAAAATAAAGCATGCTACTCATTCGTACACCTATATTACACCTGTGGTTGCTTTCGTCATTTTATAACTATACGCATGTGAGAGAAAGGACAGGTCATTCAAAATACCTAGATACAAGTCGTAATGCTTTTTGAACTTTTACACAGCATGGGACAACAGGAAGAAGTAGTGAAGGAGCTTTTATATTCTCAGTTTGTAGTTATTCATGAGTTAAAAGCTTGCAGCAACCTGCATTGTGACCTAAGTGTCCCGCATTGCCCAGCACACCACCAGCTGCAATGCAAAGGGGGAAACCAGTGAATAGTACTGGCAATACCATATCTTGAAGTATATCGAGAGGGAGAGAGAGCGAAGTCCAGTACAGAGTGCCACCAAAATTTATGCAAGCGACAGGGATGGCGAGCGTATTGTAAGAAGAATATTGGCTATGAAGTTCATGAGTGTAGCTGCCTGATACGGAAGCTCTATGGATACACAAATTTTACAGCGAGAAGTTGAGTTCCAGTTGTCAGTCTGTTCTCTGTCACTCACTGCCGTCAGTCTGTTCTGCCACGTGCAAACTCTATAATAAAGACCCACCACTAGGGCTATCCATAGTGTCCGCAGGTGTTGGTTGACCCAGGAACCTTCTCCTGCTGAATGGAACCAGAGAGACATTGCTTTCTCAGCGAAACACTACAAGAAACAGGAGATAGAAAGCATGAGAAAGTATACATTATAGCTTATATACCGAAGGCCAGTTGTCTGAAATGCACGGTTTTCCATAGTGCAGTAAATATCGCACATATTATGAAAATACACACAAACATTCACTCGCCAACAATGATTGATCTAGTACAGAGCAAACCACCAATTATTAGCACTCTCAATTATGCAACGGCTATGGCACAACACATTTTCTTGTCTGCCAGTTTGTAGCACTATATAATGCTCCTACATCTCAAAACCATACGCCTGCAACACTCGGTATAAAATTTAGACAGAGAGCTTGCATTTGACAAGGTAGCATGTCAGTGGATTCAACGAATGGTTGAGACTCACCAGTAGCAGCAGAGGAGTGTAGGGCTGGCCAAGTATTGGTAATCATTTCCTCATCATGGGACCTCATCCTGCAGGATAGATTAGCACACAAACCATTATTAGCGTGATATGCTGGCATAAGGAAACAGCCTGCATGGAAGTGTGCCCAGACGTACGTAATCCCCCTTCCCTAAATATGGCTGTCTACTTTTATTTTTGTAGGCCTGTATGTAGGCCTACATAGTCAAGTACATACAAGCTTGATTTGGTATCTCCAGGTAGCTAAACTTCAAGTGTAAATGTGTCGAGGTGGCACATTATCTTTAACACTGTCCCGCGCGCGCGTTCCA